GGACTATTGGATTTAGGTTGGTATTGCTTCAAGAAGCCATTAGGAACCGTATGTAGAGATTGTTTTCATTGTTCAAGTTCGGTCCCAGAGGCTTGGATTTTTTTTTTTTTAATTTACAGAATACGACATATGGTGGCTATATTTCTTGTCGTGGAATATTATGACACGACCAGTGGGAATGTAATTACACCTTTCCCATATGCCCGTTTCACATCCTGAGGAAGCAAGGACATAATTAAACCTGGCAATAAAAGAATATATGTAAGGCAGGAGACTCCCAACGTGATCATCAGTGCTGCCCCAGGATTCATCCTGATTGGCAGCTTTAGAACATGTTGAATTCTTGGTAGCAATCCTTTCAGGAAAAAAATGCACAACCCATTTTTGGGGTGTTCTAGGGGTACTTTGCTTTACCCCCAAAGGATCTACCTAGTTCTGTAATGGGAGTGTTGCATTAGCAGCTGCCTCTAGCACCCCCACTCCACCAATTGTATGCCTGAACTCATGGATCAAGTAGGGAAGAAGATGTCCAACACATTAACTTAGCCCTGGTGTCTGGTAATGGTGTAGCAATAGGCATAGGGTACTATGGAAAATGAAGAAAGAAAAGTATGACAATCCACTCTGTTTAAATATCTAAGCAACAAGTTTTTCCTCATGAGTCTTACTTTTTACCTCTCACGGTTTCTTTCCTAGATAATTCCATTCTAAAATGTTTATTCCAACCTGCAGGCTTGTGTTATTGTTGCTTTACTCCAACCAGTCGCTGTCAGCGGGCATTTGCACACTCCAGATTTGTGAAGGGTGCCAGGACAAGCTGAAAAGCACCCGCTTTATCTATGGACGGCTCTTTTCAAAAATACCTCTCCCTAACCTTTCCACGTCGATAACTAGAACTAACACAAAGTATCCCCAAGGTACTTATGCATGTCTGGAAGAAAGGAAGAATTGTAACCATTATTAGTAGGCATAAAAAAATCATTCTCTCTATAACTCAAAGTAAATAGTGCCTTGTTTCCCCCAAATCAAGATTCCTTACCGACTCTACTGCGAAGCTTGGAGCAATCTTTTCATTAATCTCATTTAGTTTGTCTGAGAAGAGCTGTCTGTCCTCTGTGGCCATAATGGATTCAACTGAGGTTCCCAGGACTTTGACGCCATACTCCTTGAGTACTCCTCTCTTGAATAGCTCCACTCCTGGCGAAGAACCAAATATAACCAATTTTATTTGTTTATGTTTAACTTTTTATTGTGAATTGGGTGAAAAGCTGCAGAACACATTCATTTTCCATTTAACAATTCATCCATATTCTATTTCGCGTCATTGATTGTAATCCCTACAATGTGACGTCATTCGTCAGCTCCTGCCCTGAGTGTCCCATCTCCATTCTTCCTTCTTTCCTGACCTTCCCGCCTTCCAGACCTTCATCCTTCGGCAAGTGTGGCCTTGATGATCTTGCATGGTTTCTGTACCTACATACTGTTATAATTCACATCAAAGACCTATTCTTCGGCTTAGGACAACTAGACTTCATCGCATGCATATTGGATACCTTATCAGTAGAAACCAGTCTCTGGAAAATGTCATCATGCTCGGTAAATATGAGGATTAACCAAAAAGCAGCAGACTCTCAATGAGATGGATTGACACAGTGGTTGTAACAATTGTGAAGGTGATGAAGAAGCAGGCAATGTTTCATATTCTTGTATATGGAATCCCTAAAAACTGGAACAGACTCAATAGCAACTAACAACAACAACAACAACAACAATATTTGGGGACTGCAGATAGAACCTCAGAGGTGAATATAGTTCCAGGCCTGGAGGATGGCCAAGGGCCAGAGTCTCAGGGTTCTACCAGTCGCCAGCACACAATAAGTGTGGCTTTTTGTTTATGATTTTGAATTTTGTTCTGCATTTTCCACCTACTCTGAATAATGGCAGGGTGCTTCTTTTAAAAGTTGGAAATAGATAT